ATATTTTTTTTTTTGAAAGTTTTGCAGGGGAGATTTCAAACCTTTCAAAAATATATAGGGGCTGTTTGGGAGCTATTTTTCCTCCCAAAAAATTAATTTTTTGATCGTTATTTCACTATTTCAGCTGTCATATTTGACTTCTTCTCTCATAGGTGGACCCCACTTTTCCCTTAACGGTCAAAAAATCAATTCTCAAAATCACTTCCAAACAAGCTCATAGTGTGATCCCAAACCTATAAATTGTAATAGCTATGTCTGAAACCTTTAATAAATATGCACAAAAATAAATTGTAATAGCTATGTCTGAAACCTTTAATAAATATGCACAAAGAGGACATCTAAGATTTTCGTCTATAGATTTATTATTATAATTATTTTTTAAAAAAAGTCAAACATTTACCCATAATTTGATAAATTTTAATAAGATCAAAAGAGTTAATTTGCAATTTTCACTTAAAACAATTAAAATAAGAAAGAAATTAATAATTGACAAAAAAGGATAAAAAAAAATGAATATTCTTCTCCACTTATCACATGTACCCAACCCCAACTCCCCATTACCACTACCACTACCACTACCAATGCCGCCACTCCCATCCCTATTGCGGCCATACCCACCTTGTGTACAAGTACATTTAGGTGGAATTCGTGGAAAAAAAACACTTCTACTTAGATTGTTGACCTTTAGATCTAACTATACCGAGTTACCAAAACTCATGCAAAAGCCAATTTTGCTGCAAACATTTGAAGAGGTAGTTTAGATACATAATCACAATCCCTGTTTGGTTTACTTAAAAATTCATATTTTTAGTAGGTTTTTATAAAAGTTGATGAAATGTGTTATTGAACATCATGTTATTGAAAATGATTTTGATAAAAATGAGGTCCAAACAAAAGCATAATCTTTGTTCGAAGATGAGTTTTTGGAGAAGCGTTTCAATCCCGAGTTCAAGTCTTTTTGCTCGAGCCTCTCAAATCACTCCAAAATATGTTGCTTTTTCATATGATTCCTATATGCATTGAGTTGACTTGTTGGCCTGTTGGGGTAGAAAAACCCAATAATCATAATAGCTTGGTTAGGGACTTCACTAGTGAAAAATTTCACGTGGTTGAAAAAATGGAGAAAAATTGGTGGGCATGGCAAAGATTATCAAACCTGAACTGATGGAGTTATCCACAACATTGAAATCGGATCCCTTTTTAGCATCGTGGAAGAGTGTGTAGTGCCGTGATAGGGGGTGGAGACTTCGTGGGGATGGGGGATTAGTAGGTAATCTAGGTAGAGAATAAGATCCATAGAGAGAAAAGAGAGAGAGAGATGATTTAATTAGCACAATTACTCATCTTATATTAAAGATCGGTGACATTTTATATGAATTCATTGATGGATAAAAATTTTATGAATCTTAATATTTAAATTAAATTTGTTAGTTGCTAAAAAATTTAAATGAGTATGTTAAGATACTCTTTCGCTCTTATTAAAATTAGTTAAACATTTCATTTTTGAGAACTTGACAATTTTTTGGATGAAAATCATCAATGGTCCTTTCGGCACACAATTAGTGAAGGGTTTTGGATTTCGTTCCTACAATTTAAATGTTTGGGATTGCGTTACATATTATTGAAAGGTTTGAGAACTTCGCTAAATTAGTACGGTCCACTTTTACCTATATTGATCCTAATCTATAATAATTTCCCGTGAATTCATTGAACAACGAATTAGTAGGCTTCATTTCCAATTACACCGTGCTAATACACACTATTGCTCATTATTAAAGTCAATGTTCATTTTTCATTTTTTTCCCAAATGTTTTAAAAGATACCCTCTCTGTCTCACAAAGATAGTCTTGTTTCTATTTTCACATAAATAAAAAAAAATAATTAGTTTAGTTGAAACAATAAAGTTACTTTCATTTTTCCTAAGGATAAAGATATTTGTGCTCACACATTTGTACAAAATGTTTTACTCACTCTCACATACATTTGGGTTCCATATGAAATAAAAAAATTCCAACATGCGGTCCCTACCCTCCTATTGTGAGTGTAAGTAAATCATTTTGTACAAAAGTGTGTGTACATCTAACACTCTCCTTTTCCTAATATACCCTACATTGAATAATAGTTTAAAGAATTAATAACAAAAAGCCCCCTAGAAACGTTTTCAAGTGCGATATAACCCCCTATCTATTAGAAATTGTAGAAAAACCTCTATTTGAAACCTTTTGTGTGAAAACCTCCTCTATTGTCAAGATCTATCAGATTTGCCGTTAAAAACACTAAAAAATGCCAAAATAAAAAGAAATAATTGCAATTTTGGTACCTATATTTATTATTTTTTTTTTTTCACAAATTAAATCCAAAATTTTTATATGTGTCACCTACCATCTCAAAACTTTAAAACTTTATTTTTCACCCCAACCACTTTTATTTATTTTATTCATCCCGAGGCCAAAGACGAACTTCCTGCTTTAGTGAAAAAATTTGCTCTGAATCCGAATTCTTAGATAATCACCTCCCACATGAACAAGAGGAAGTGGCTGCGTCCCTCGGGGCACATCCAAGTTGGCGGAACAATCACATTGGGGGGCTCTGGAACCAAGCGTGGGGAGTTCGATTTCTAGTGGAAACCTTTGATCCAATAAAGGAGGAATTATTGGTGGATTAATCACTATGGAGGAAGGATCCCTTTGGGGAAGGAGTAAAAAGTCATGTGGGGAACTTGGGAACCAATAAGGACACATCCCGCGATTTACCTCCCTGAGATGCTGAGGGGCCGGAGGTTCAGGGACGAGGATATAGTCTAGCGCAAGCTGGGACACCTCGTTAAAAAATAAAAAAAAAATAAAAAAAAAGAGGAGGAAGTGGCTGCATTTTGTATTCCAAAACCCAAAAGATTTGAAGGTTCTGAAGTAAGGGACAAGGATTGGTACTTGCCCAAATGGTTGACTCTCTTGTTTTTCAGAACCTTTATTTTCTAAGCATTTTCCACATATCGTCTATCAAGATAGATAAGGAAGGCACAGAAACCTACTTTCTGGTTAATTAAAGCATCCAACCATGCACATTATCAACTTCCATCCCACTACGGGCATCAAATCCATCGGAAAACAGATCCAATTTCAAGCTAAAATAGCGAATTGTCAAACACTTTCCTTGCCGACAACCCTACTTTCGGCGACGTCCATGGTTGCGCACCACAATCGGTGGTTAACCCTCATCTAGAAGACCCTAAACATGGCTTAACATCAACTCAAAAGGCCTCCATTTGATCTGATGCAGAATTTTTCAGCAATCATGACTCATTTTTTGCCAAACACGTCTCCTTCCATTCATGCCTCGCACAGCATCTAATCCCCAAATTTGCCTCAATTGAACCAACAAGAAGTCCAAACGATCATGGATATGAATTTAATCAAGCCAATCATCCCCAACTGCTCCAATTTTTGGTTCAAAATTCGCCCAAAACACTACGCATAGCGACTATGTTACGTTTAAAGTTGATGGGTCCCAGGTGTTTCAATCTATAAATTCATATGGGGAAATGCATAATCAGGGCCAAACAAAACACGAGCATGCAAACTATCGATCCAATTCAGCCCTTAAATTCGTGCGCAGCGTGCAAGAACATTGAGCCTATTACATCTCAATCAATTGAAGGTAGTTAATTGATTCCACTAATTCAAACATAGGGATTACATTTTAGAAATTAGGGAGGATGATCCTGAGTTGTTGAGTGCGGACATATTGAACCAAAAATGTGAAGATTTTGGTTTGAAGGTGGCGGTGGCAATTTATGGTGCTTCTCGTGTGAAATGCGTAGCTATGGCTGGCCGACGATGGTGCTAGTGATGGTGTCGCTTGTGGTGAGGTTGAAGGAGAGAACCTTTTGATTTTTTGGTTATTTTAGTTTGGGAAAGAAGATGGGGTGGAGAAAATAATAAAATTTTAAAAATTTGAGATTGTAGGCGACACATATAAAAATTTTGTATTTAAGTTGTAAAAATATAAAAAAAAATTGGTTACGGAAATTGCAATTGTTTTTTTTTTTATTTGACTTTTTTACTGTTCTTAACAACAAATTTGATAAATTTTTGCGATTTCAATAGGTAGGGGTATATCACACATGAAAATGTTTTTTAGGAGATTTTTTGTTGTTATTTCATAGTTTAAATAGGAGTAGTTCATATATGTTAATAACAATATATATTAAGGCCATTTTAATGAAAATTTGAAAAAAAGGAGTTTTAAATAATGATTTTTTGGAGAATATATTATTAAAAAATAAATTTTTTTTATTTACATATATTATTATTTATGGAAGAACGTGCAATTAAAATGAATTTAAATAAAAAAAAAAGAAAAGAAAAGAAAAGAAGGAGTTATTGGAAAAATGGTGGCCAACAGATAGGCTAATATAGAGGCATATTGAAAATTAACTTTACTCTAAACCCTTGTTTGAGCTCCATTCTTTTGGTAAGAATGAATTTTTGAATAGTGTATTGATGATAAATATGTGATTAAAAAATAAGAAAAAATTTTGAATTTGTGTATAATATTATTTTATTGAAAAATGTGTGGTTGAAATGATGTCAAAATATTGTTTAAGAATACTTTTTTTCAAAAAATGAGAATCAAACAGAGGCTAAATAAGAAAAGTGATCCATAATTTGAGGTATACGAAAAGTAAAAATAAACTTATCACTATGAGACATAAGGAGTGTATGATTGCAAATTAATCAATTTAGCCTCTATTTGATAACCATTATTTTTGAAGATAATGTTTTAAAGGTAAAAAAAAAAATAGATAAAAATTTTGAATTTAAGTGAAAAATATTTTATTGTGTAAACGTGTGATTAAAAATGAGTATAAAAAAAAAAAAAGATAAAAATTAATGTTGGTGACACGGGCCCAGTTCAGTAAAACATTGGGTTCCTCCTTTCTTCTTTCGGTAACATTTTATAAAATTATTGTATTCTTGAATTTGAAAATGGAGGAGATTCAAAGTCTCCTACGAGCACATGTACGTACCAACCCACCTCTCTCTCTCTCTCTCTCTCTCTCTGCGCGTTGAATAAAATGGAAAACAAAGTCTTCACTCTGCTTTCTGCTTTTACTTCATCAAACCACCAAACCCGCAAATTTTTTTAAAAACTCCAACTTCACTTGCTCCAAAACTTGGCTTCCCCCCACCCCCAAGCCTTCTTCTGCCCAGATTTTTTTTTTCTTTTTCCTCTCCATCTGTCTCTCCCTACAAATCTTAGCAGCTGCAGAACTGACTCTTTTCATTTCTCTCCCAAGCACACATTCTGTATACATATATAAGGTTTTTTTTTTTTTTTTTGGCCTTTTCATTTCTTTTGTGTTTTTGGGGGGGTGCGAAATGAACCGGCGGATGTGATGGGGGCAGGGTTTTCGCAGGTTTTCCCGTGTTTCAACCCGTCGGCCGGTGCGAACCGGGACGAAGAGGGTGTCATTTTTTCAGCTACTGAACCGCTTGACGAAACCCTAGGACATTCCTTCTGTTACGTCCGGTCCTCTGCTCGCTTTGTATCCCCTACTCACTCTGATCGCTTTGTTTCCCCCTCGCAGTCCCTCCGTTTTGACGATCCGCAAAGACCTAAACCGCCCGGGATACCAGAAACCGGTTTCCGAGCTATTTCCGGTGCCTCTGTTAGTGCAAATACTTGGACTCCCAGAACTGTCCTTGACGATATTTACGACGGCGCCATCGAGAGTAACAATAACAGCAATGCTCCTGGTTATTTGGCCGGAACTAGGGGTAGTGTTGTGAATGGATTTGAGAGCACGTCTTCGTTTAGCGCCTTGCCTTTGCAGCCGTTACCTCGTGACGGCAAAGGTGAGCCACCGTCTGGGCCGCTAGAGCGGGCGTTCTTCATGTCAGGTCCGATTGAGCGTGGGGCCATGTCGGGCCCGCTGGATAGTGCTGCCGGAGGCATAGGTCCTGACAGCAGCAGGGTCCCCTTTTCAGCACCGTTGGGTAATGTGTGTGTGAAAAAGCGAAAGAAGGGTATTTCTGGATTTCGCAAAGCATTGTACAAGAACTTCTCTGAGAGGAAGCGCCCTTGGGTGGTGCCAGTACGGTATTTAGTTGGAGGAGGCAGGAAGGATATCCCGTTATCTGGAGAGAGCAGCAGAAGGACCGAGATGGGGAGTGACAGCAATGTTCATTGGGCCTTGGGTAAGGCAGGGGAGGATCGGGTAAATGTGGTAGTATCAGAGGAGCATGGGTGGCTTTTTGTCGGAATTTATGATGGATTCAATGGCCCTGATGCCCCCGAGTTTCTCATGAGCAAATTGTACAGAGCCATGTACAATGAACTAGAGGGTTTGTTTTGGGAGAGTGAGGAAGCAGTTGTAGCTTCTGAAAATGCAGTTATTGCAGATAATTCTAACTTATCTCAAGAAAACCAAGAAAATGAAGAGGCTAAAGAAGGGGAGGTAGCTGAAAATGAAACGAAATCCGAAAGAAAGGTGACATTTCAAGAGGAACAGATTGGGGTTAGGAGGAGAAGATTGTGGGAATTTTTAGCAGAGGATGATCCAGGAGAGGGGCTTGATTTATCAGGTTCTGATAGATTCGCATTTTCGGTTGACGATGCTTTGAACCTTAACGATGCCGGTTCAGCTGTGAATGGGAGGTCTTTATTGTTATCAAAACTAAAACATGGATTGTTGAGTAAGCACAAGGATAAGGATGGTAGAAGATTGTTCCCTTGGAGATTTTGGTTTGAAGGGAAAGAGAAAGTGGTGGGAGAAATGGAGGAGAGTAATAGAGTAGCAGAGGAGGAGGGGGAGGGAATTAGTAGAAATGGGAGGAAGCCGAAGGTGGGGCCGGTTGATCATGAGTTGGTTCTGAGAGCAATGTCTAGGGCACTTGAGGTTACAGAGCGTGCATATTTGGATATGACAGATAAGGTTCTAGATCAGTATCCTGAACTTGCGTTGATGGGTTCTTGCTTGTTGGTTGTGTTGATGAGGGATGAAGATGTCTATGTGATGAATGTAGGAGATAGTCGGGCTATTGTAGCACAGCACCAACCTGAAGAGGTTAGTTCTAGTGCAGAATCGAAGGTTGCAGGGGATGATGGGTTGAATGCCCAGTATATAGTTGAAGAACTTTCAGATGTTAGTGAGAAAGAAAATAAGAAGAGGAATGAAGATCATGTTCACCAAGCTATGAGGTTGTCTGCGTTGCAGTTGTCTACTGACCATAGCACCAGTATTGAAGAAGTATGTCCTTGCAATTTCTTTCTTTTATCTGTTTTATATTCACCTCTCTTCATTGCTGCTTCAATTTATAAGTTATATGTTCATCTATGGTTAAGATGTGGTATTCTTTAGTTCTAATCTGGACAAAAATATTGACATTTCGGTTTATGAGGATGGAGCTTATAAGGTCTGAAAGATTTGAGTTCAACTAGTTGTTCAATGACTTTTAAAACTTGGCCACTTCCATCGTGAACTAGAATTTTGAATTCTAGCTACTTGTGTAGACATAGATACTTAGTTCTTATGGCCGTGCATAGTAATGCATTGGAGCTTACAAGTAGATATGAACTGATAATTTGACTTAAATCTGTTGTTTTCTATAATCCATGCTATTAACTAATATGCATTTTCCCTACACTTTTATGAATTGGGACCAGATTCAATTGTCAGTTACGAATTTTGATGCTTCTGTTAGTTGAATCCGTTTCCTTTACCAATATGACAACCATATTGTGGGAGCTGATGAGATCTGTTTTCCCTACATAATATGACAACCATATTCTGGGAACTAATGGGCCAAACGAGTTAATGTTTCTGAAAGCCCTAACTCAGGCAAGATGAGCATATGTTAAAGAGATGACTTTGTTGCTTTTAGATGAATGATTTTTATTTACATGGAACTACTGCAACATTACGTTTAAATTGTTCGATGTGTGATGAAGCTTTATGAACGGGAGCGATAGGATCATAACAATTGATACTTCTTTTTCAGAAGTTTTGGAAGTAATTCATAAGAAAATTTGTTCTATATCTTTCTTATTCTATATGTGGACATTAGCCTTTTGGTTACCGAGGCATTTTTTCATTGTAAGACGATGCATAAGCCTCATGAATAAAAATTAGCCAAAAAATAAACTAAAATAAGCAAGTAATAAACTATAAATAAAATTCAAAATTCCTATAACAAAAGAACAAGTTAGGGGATTCATGCAATTCTAGAGTTCGTGTGCTGTTATGAGTCTTTGATGTGTCGCAATTCTAGAGTCGATGTGATGAACAATGATTTACGTGTGTTGTGGTTGTGGGTTGCATTTTGTTGTGCATGTCGCTCATATAGAGCGGAACATAGGTCTTGGATCAAATAGGTCCGTCATCGGTCTTGCGCGAGTTTATTTCACTGTCTAGTTGGTACAGGGGTTTTTTTTGTACAGGCCTTAAAGTCTTATATGGCTCAGGCTAAGGCTAGTATAAATAATATGTTGTAACCCTATTTTTATTACTGAATAAAAATTATCTCCGCTTCGCTCTCGTGGACGTAGGCACACCGCCAAATCACGTCAATTCTTGTGTTGATTTTTCTTTTTCATCTCTTTATTATTACACATAAAATCCAACACATTTTATCTTAGTTTTGGACCTATGACCGTTTGATGCCCATTAAAAAGAGGTTTACGTGCAAAACATTTTATAGTGAGAATGAGTGGTTGAAAATGAGTGTTTTTATTTATTTATTTTTATATATATATTTTTTAGGAGTTCTTGGAGAATGGCAGACAAACATGAGCTATAATTTATTCTTATTTATGGTTGATAATAGATAAAAAAAGAAATTAGGTCGGTTTAAATAAATAGTGGTTTTTCTAAAGCTGTTCAGCAAATGAAATTAAGTAGGTTTTAACTAAAAGTGGGCCATAGCTTATTAAAGAGGAGCTCATACATTTCGTGGTGTAAGCTGTGCGCATGGAGACGTGATTAAGTAGGTTTCAATAAATAGTAGGCCCCAGCTGATTTAAGAGAAGAACATGCCTCTGGTGGTCTAAACTCTGCGCATTAAGTCACCTAATTAATTAGGTTTAATACCAGCACGTTAAAAAGTGCTTGCCTCTCATGGTTTGAGGTGTGGAAAGATGCATGTAACTAAGTTTATATAAATAGTGTGCCTCTGGCTACTCATTAAAGAGGAGCGCATGCCTCTCATGGTTTGAGGTGTGCATTGATGCTTACGCCTCGTTAATGTCCCCGAGCTATTTTTGAGCGTCTAAATCATGGTACCCCTCATTTTCGCCTTTTAAACCATGGTGGACATTGAGAAATTTTACTTAATAAGGGTTAGGCCTTTTGACTATCGAATGTTAAGCATGTGGACTTTCTAGTGTGTACTAAGGACAAATTTGAGTAAATGCAATGTTTAAAAAAGGCTTAATTGTGAATTGGGGTGCATTTTTCCTCCGTGAGGCATAGGCATAAGCGTTGACTTGTTTGGGGGCTTTATAATAAATACAAAAACATTTATTATTAAAATGCAAATAAGCTTATAATAGACCATGAACAATCTTCAAAATTCATAATAGAACAGTTCAAAGTGTGTAAATAAACAAAAGAAAAATCTATATGAAACTATCACTGTAATTGGAGGCAGTGAACAATTCTCAAATTGTGTCCGTGAAATATAAGCCCCCTTTGGTCCCATTAAATTTCATCAAATTAAATTAACAACTTGTTTAGTAGTGATTTTTTGGCCCAAAAAATTGATTTTTTGACCATTATTTCACTATTTCAATCGTCATATTTGACTTCTTCTCTCACAGGTTGACCCCACTTTTCTCCTAACGGTCAAAAAATCAATTCTCAAAATCACTCCCAAACGGGCTCTAAATTAAAATTCTCTCTCCTATTTTCAATTACACAATTTTCAATAAAATAATATTACACATAAATCTAGAACTTTTCATTGTTTTATAACTATCCATTTTTCAAAAAAATATAGTTCACCCTTAATAATCAGAATTAATGGGGGCCAAACGGGGGCTAAATTTTTAATGTTTTAGTGGGCATTGGACTACTCTCAAAATGAATCGATAAGAATTTTTATCTTTTGTGGGTCAGAAGCCTTGAGTGGTGCTACGAGACGTGTGCCTTACACAACTATGGTGTCTACTTTCAAAACTGCCTCATTGTTAACCTTGAAGTTATTTTTTTATGCACGCCACAGGGGGCAGTCCTTAAGGCGAGTTTAAATGCTTCCCATTCTTATTTTTTGAAAGACGGTCTAATGCCGATATTTGTATGAATTATTTTTCTTCGACTTATTGCTAACCTTGTTCGCTGCTCGACTCCCTTATCCTTGATATATAAGCCTTCTCTTTTAATGCATCTGTGTAGTTTTTCACATCTATAGGTTGCTGGCTTTTTGTGTTCTCTTTTTACTTATTTATCTTCATTCATTCAAGCAAGAGTAGTCTTTTGATGTGGCAAGGTGCTTATTATGGTCCAACTAGGGACTTTTTCACTGTTAAGACTTGATATTTTGTTTGTATTTTACAAATTGATATATTCACTGACTTAAATGACGTTACTTTAGGTTATCTTTGCCTTATCAACTAGTTGGAAGATCAAAGTGAACCTTTCTCAGTTGTTATTAGTTAATAGTTGAACCTCACTCATTTACAGTTTAGTGAAAAAAATGTTAGGAGTTCGTTTTCATGCATCTTAGATATATTTTGGACCTATTGACTCCGTTTTCAGTGTAAGGAAAAGCAAGGAAGATTCCTCTCTTTTTATTCTTTGGCTGTCTATAGTAAGTTTTCTATTGTTAACGGAACTATTTAGCTTCTCTAGCTTGTTATGGTCCCAATCCAGTGAATACCCAGTGATAAGCTTTCTTTACGTTGTTTGGGTTCTTTTCTTAACTTTGGATTTATCTTCTGGTTTTCCAAGTTCCTGGTTGTTTTGCTCCTTTAGGTTATGTCCTTCACATGCAAAGTAGGAGTTAAAAAATGCAATATGAAGTCCAGCCGTGGGAGATTTTTAATTTGAGAACTGCCTCTCAATGTTCCCCCTCTGGAATATGGTTGGTGGACTATTACAGTATCACTAGATTGGTTTGACATGTTATTTGCAATATCTTTAACCTTTTCCTTCTGCTGGTAAATTCTTAGAAGCCATGACTTCCATGGATAATAGTTGCGAAGACAACTATAAACATATTAGACTATGAATCTGATGTGATCATGATGCCATCACGTGTTTTGTCCGATAGTTTGTGTTTTTTGTTTATTTCTTGGTCTTGGCATGAAAATGTTTTATTTTCAACAACTGGTTGATTCGGATTCTTACAACTTAATGTTTTGATTTTCATAATAAAAATGAAATTGGGGGTTGCCAGGTTATGTAGAGTTTTCTTCTCTGGCACCACCATTTTGTCAAGCCTTACTACTCTATGTTGTTTTCAAATGTTCTGGCCCCAGCATAAATCCTCTTGATAAGTTGGATGCATTTGGACATCAATTATGCCTATTCTTGTTTAGGTCTCTTTTTTCCCTTTAAATTCAAACAGAAGCTTCACTTTATATAATAATTGATAGGGCTTTATATAATAATTGATAGGGCTGTTAATGGATTGGATTTTGATCCGAATTTGATGAAATTAATGGGAGATGGATTTAGGGTCTCAATCCGATAACTCGATCAAGATCCGAATCCAATAAATCGTTAATTAAATGAATCAAATATGGATATAGGTCAATATGATCGAATAACAACCCTATCCGATTTATTATAATAATATATTATATTTTTTTATATTATTGCATTATTTATGAAACTGTTTTTTTCATTTTGAGAATTGTATACACTTTTCACGTAATTTTTAAATAATAAATAGTATTATATAATAATATAATATTTTTAATTGAAAATGTTGAAGAGATTTAATTTTTTTATTAATTAAAATAAGATAAAACTAATAATTAATTTATTGATTAGATTTATTATAATAATTTGTTTTATAACATAAAAAATTAATATGTCCAAAATAATTTACTTTATTCAAATTGATATTGTTTATAATTAAAATTTTATTGAGGCTATAATTTTTAATAAAAATAATAAAGTAAACTAGTAAACACTTAGAATTGACAAAAGATTATGATTAGTATCCCACATTGAAAGATTACCAAATCATTGGAAGAGGAGTCTTTTGGTATCCCACATTGCAATATCACTAAAATATTCCAAGATGAGTCTCTTTTAAAAAGGAGCATCACTTGTATAAATTTTTTTTTTTTTTTATTTGGGCCTTCTAATCTAATAAGTGAGTCCATCAAGATAGTTCAAATATTTTTTAAAATAAATAAATAAATAATTAAAATCTTGTTGAGACTATGTTTTTTAATGAAAAAAATAAATAAAATTTTTATTTTTTAATTTTTTCAATTTCGGGTCGGGTTATCAGATCGGATATCTGATAACATAGCTAATCAGATTTGGATTTAACATTCAAATATTCGTCGGATTATCGGATCGCATAATTATTCTTAACGGATCGGATTTGAGCAAATCCGATTCATATCCGATCTATTGACAGCCCTAATAATTGGTCTAATCCATCATTGGCATGCATTGTGTTTAGAGTCTGAATTCTATTTAGTTGCCAAGGATATTTAAAGAACGAAATTGCATGACTTCTTATTTGGAGTAATTGATTTTGGTGACTGTAACTGCTAGAAGTGAACTTGTCGTCTAGAGTGGGATGCAGGCGCGGATCCAGCACTTGGCGAGCACCCGCAGCCGTGCGTGCTGAATCCGCCGGCGGTCGGGAGAATTTTTTTTTTTTTGACAATAGGTTAAATTATTACCTTAAATTACTGGTGATTCAAACTGTTTTCAAACATCTGTTGCAGTTTAGTGGGTTAGGGCTTGCACATTTAATTTTTACGCCTCAGGGCTCAGGTTTGAATCCCTCACTAACAAAATTGTTGTGTATCATTCTTAGACTACAATTTTTACCAAAATTTGACAAGGATGGGGACAAAGGGATTTGAACCTATGGCCGTGTGGAAGGAATGTCGTAAACATCACCATCATGGTACTTCATGAACTGTGCCACTAAATTTACCAAAATAATATTTGTTAGGTTTTAACTAGTTTAATGCAACGACGATTCTAAAGACTCAAATACACACTCTTCCTTTGAATTATACAAACTTGGCAATAATGTCATTTGATGAGTCCTATTTATTCTTATAACAGAATAATATATGTTTAATTTGAACAAAATAATTGTTATATTTAAACTTTAGGCATTGTTCGATTTTCATTTTTTTCAAAATACATTTTTTCTCTATTCTTTTCATATACACATTCTTCAATAAAATAATATTACACGCAAATTCGAAACTTTTCTTTGTTTTTAGCTACACATTTTTCATCAAATCACTACTCAAAAATGCATTTTTTGGCAAAAAATGGGTATCAAACGGACTCTTAATATTTTATTTCGGCCAATGTAAGATGATCAACGGCTCGCCTGTGTTGATTCAAACTCCTGGATTCACCCCTGGTGGGATATAGTGGCGTTACTTAATAAAGGTCCAACCATATGTGCAAGCTACTTTTGCTTCTTACGTATTGCTTAATAATCTATAGAGTGAAGATCAGTGAAACATTTTCATATTTGGTTTCTAGTGAGCATAGTTGTCTTTTAAGCTCTATGTGTAGATACTTATTTATGGGTTCTTTACTGCATAACTATCAACTACATTGTTTACTTTGTTTCTACTATAAACATTATTCATAGTTGTATTCCAAATGAAAAAGTAAGTCCCCTTTTATAGTACGTAATCTTTAACTCCAAGGGAACTTCTAATAATAAAAAAGAAAAAAAAAAAAAACTCTGGATAATGTAAATTAAAATTTTATCCGGTAAAAATAATAAAATCTAATCTAACCAAAAGTCTAAATTTTCTAGTTGTTTCACCTGGAGTGAAGTATATATTTAGTTGTTTCCCATCATTTTTCCCTTTTATTTCTTCATGAAATCGTCAAATGAGAGATTTATGTGCAGTACAATGCTTTGACACCAGGATTACGTTAATATAAAAATTCTCCTCTATGAAATTTAGAACTTTGGGGGTGTTATTGAGAGCTTGTTTGGTTTGGATTAAAATCTGATTTTGATCTATGTCAAAGTCAAACAATCAATAATCACATCTTTTTATCAGTTCCACAACTTTTCAACCACACATTTCAAAAACTTCTACCACAATGTATTAAAAAAATCTAATTTTAATCCCCACCAATCACCCTTTGAAGTACATTCTCCTAGTGCTCTTGGTGAAATTTGCTGGAATTTGTGCCCATGAACATTAGTGATAGTTTTCAATTCTGGGTGTTAAAACAGAATAAAATGAAGTTATTTACTTATATGTGCTTGTGAAGATGTGATATTGTTACTTTGCCACTGGATAGCCTCTTGTATGTAATGTTGTAAAATTTTTAGCCTTATGTTCTGCTATATTCGTTCTCTTCAAAAAAAAAAAA